AGGGATGGTTGTCTCCGTGTTGCTGTTTACCAGAAACATGGGTTCGTATCCAAAGGAAATTCCAACTATCAATGTAAATAAAAATTAAGTTTTTAGGTACTCAAAAGATCTGCTTAAGATTAATAACTGATAGTCATGCTGTGTTGTCTATTTAAACTCTTAAAACTCTATTCCAATAGTCGATGAGGCCTCTGTACAATAAAAAGAGCCACCGTTTACTGGGTAATGGTCATATTTGGGTTTGAGCTATTTAAATTGAGTTAAAACCTAAGGATCGGTTTCTGTCCCTTCTAAGATGTGGATGCCTCAGTGATCCCTGGTGGACATGGCTCCAGGCGCTATTGAAAACAAAAAGCAAAAAGGATAGAGCCAAGAGTTAGTTTTATTTTACTACCAACAAAATTTCGTTTTGGCCTTCTGTAGTTCTGTCTCCTTTAATTAACTTTAACCTAATAGTCTTAAATTTAAAAAATCATTTATTAAGCACTTACTCCAGCCAGGCATTTGCCTGCATCCTCTAGGTTGCATTAGTTTATTCTATTGGCTCAGACCTAACACAAATAAAATAGTCAAGTCAAAACCTGGAAGACTTGGCAGAGGAACCTGGGCAAGTTAAGCAAGAACTAGAGTTTTCATTTTTAAGATGCACTTTGCTTCAAATCCATGAAAATCGGGCAGATATCTTTCCTTCATGAATGGGAACTTTTCCCCAGAATAAGGTTGCAGTTTGATTCCCTCAAACCTTTCGTCACTGCTAGCATAATTGAGATCGTCTATACTTAATTAATTACATGTCATAGTTGCAATATGATTACTTTATAAATAATCACATTAGTTGCTTTCTGTTTTAATTACTGTAGCACTCTTTCTAAAATGATACTATCTTAAAATCCTGAATTATGGGCTTCATGTAATTCCATAAAAATTTCAGTGAGAAAGGAATGGAAAAATAGTTTAGTAATCAAATTAGTTCTTTATAACACAGTGTTTCCTAAGTAACTTTTGCCTTAATGTAATTATTTCATTTTAAATTACAAAATAGAGTTCTTTGAGGCTGCTCTCTGCACTTCATTTAAGACCTGCTGGTAGCTGACAAAAAATAAGAGCTTTTATCAAATTATGGAATGAATATCTAATATAATCAGACTTATAAATGTGTAAGTTTGGAGCTGTTTGTAAGCTATTTATAGGCCTTCCTTAAAAATTTTAACTCTTTAAATTAAAGTAGTAAATATGAATGTTTATTTAATCTGAACCATAAAGAAAATATCAAAATCTGTAAGTATTAAATTGGTGAAATTGTATAGATGTATATTGCACATCAATTCAATACAGGAACAAGAGCTCTGGTGATGGAATGATTAAGTGCTCATCTGCCCACCTAAGAGTTAGCCATTCAAACACACGCTCCAGCTCCACAGGATAACAGCCTGCTCATACAAGGATCTGCTCCCTGAGGCTGAAGCCCCCAAACCAAGTTCACTGCCACAGAGGCTGTGTCAACTCATAGCGACCCTGTAGGACATGACAGAACTGTCCCTGGGAGTTCCTGAGACTTTCAATCTTTACTGGAGTGGAAAGCCCATCTTTCTCCACAGAGAAACTTTTTGTGTAGATGTTTGTAGATAACATTAGTTAAAAAATTAAGCGCTGTTTATTTAAAAGAACAGCTAGCAGCCCAACACGTAACAACTATTCCAATAGGTGCCTGCTATGGGTCACTTCTCCTAGGTCGCAGGTGGTCATGGTGGTTGGATTCGACTCGATGGTACACCACACCATAAAAGAATACATAAATTATGTACCCTGATTTTGAAATGTAAAATAATATCAGAAAGATTTTTCTAAAGAAGTTGTTTTAGGTATGTTATGGTAAACCTGTAAATTTGGAAAGCAAACTGTTTCTTATTCCAGTGTATTACTTGCCTCTGTAGCTCAGGTGATTTTACTAGGGTACGAAACTAATAAAAGTTAAAAGTTTCCATTTCTGGGTTTGTCAGTTAGCTATAATCTGTTTCATGGCCACGTGAAAGGAATGAATGACTTAACACAAGTTCCATCACTTCTTTAACCGAACGCCCCCTCTTCAGAAAACAAATTACTCAGCATCCCTTGGCCATTAAGAATTTTGCACTATAGCCCGTAGTACAGGATGAAACATAGGGAGATGCTCTTTGCATTCTGCTGGAGTGTTCCAGTGCTCCGGTCCCCTTGTCAGCAGTGATATTGCCCACTTTGGGAAAGACTGATGGAGAATGTAGATGAGTGTGAATTTATCACTTCTGTTGTATCAGCCACCCATAGCATAAGACCCAAGTTATGCCAACCCTGTTACTAGTGTCATTATGAAGCAAGCACAGTGGAGGGAAATCTTGACCCTCCAAATGCCCAAACCGAGTTCTATGTAGCTTTTATTTCCTTAATCTAAGATAATGGCCTGCTTTTCTTTTTATAGTTGCAGGTGAGGGCGTCCAGCTGATCACCTGCCTGGCATTATTGCAAACCTGGTGGGAAGCATTTGGGCAGGCAAAGTCATGTTTTCATTTCACTAGGAAATCATTTAGCAAATTACTGCTCTCCTCTAAATTACTGTGCTGCATAACTTTCATACTGAGAAACTATTTTCTTTTTCATAAAAATTGTGGATGAAGGGATTCTACAATAAATAACCTATATTTACAAGTCACTAATTCCTAGAATTTAAAGAATGTGATATTGCATTTCTTGGATGGAATTAAAAACAAGGATATTTTTCAAGTGTTATATTTTTAAATGACACACCATAATCTCTGTGAAAGTCAGTTTTGGGTGATTATTTGTTTACTTTGGTGCCCTTTGAGATGAATATATAGAGGCTTCTCGAGGCAAAAGAGCAAGCCGTATACCTATTCTTTGAAGGGAAAAGAGATCATTTCTCAACAGAGCTCCAGATAAGGAGCTTTGGTAACATAGTCTGATGCTTTGGGCTGCTACCTGCAAGACCCACACTTGGAAACCCCCGGCGCCCCTGCAGGCATGAGATGAGGCCTTCTACTCCTGTATAGATTTAACGACTGGAACCCACAGAAGCACTTCTACTCCATCCTGGGGAGTAGCTATGAGTTGGAATTGACCCAAGAGCAGTGAGTTCAGTGTTTGGGTTATAGCCTCAGTTTATACTGAGAGAGTAGAGAGCCCCAAACAAAAAGGCTAAGCAAGCATGGTATTGGGTACAGGAATTTCTATTCTGCCAAATCCTGCTTGGGATAACAGTCTGAATGATTAAACTCAATTCTTTTAATTTCATGTTGAGGTGTTTAGACCATAAAAACATCTGGAGATAATGCAGACTTGTCCCCACAACCAGTAAAGCTAAGGGTCATGCTTCACATATGATGGCCTATAAAGTTGTGAAAGTATCAGCCAAAATGACCAAAGTAGTGCCCTTTTCAAGAAACACGTGGATAACAGGACAGTCTTCCTTCTATTTTGATGGAGAGAAGCTAGAGGCAGAGGAGAAAACGATGCCTTATAGAATCAGGCCTCGTGTCAGTGCTGCCTTTTTATAAAAGAAGCGCTTAGACATAAGAGGGAATGTTGCTTGGTAGTTATCAGGGATGGGAAGGAAAATATGGAGTCATTGCTTTCTAGATAGTAGACATTGGTCACTTTTGATAATGGAAAAGGAAATTCCAAAATACAAGTGAAGTCACCATAACTTAGCCAAGGCAAATAAAGACAGAAGAAGTATATAAGGGAAGATTCAATTTCTACAGATTTTATAGCATTTGCAAATTCAGGACAGTAAAAAAAACAAATGTTGGGTACATATGTACATGTGAGTGCATATGTGTATATAGAAGGCACTTACATGTGTATCTGTTGGAATACATATGCACAATTGTAGGTGATACATATATTTGCACATATTTGAAAAAACAATAAAGGAGGTATAGTTATAGATGGTTTCTAGACCTATAAATAATTTGCTGAGTTGATTTACTGATTCAAAAGGCTTGGGACTATAATCTCAGGGAGAGACTTAGTCAAGTGGACGAAAATAAGGTTATACATCTTAGTTTGACGAGTATCTTCTAAGAGCTTAAAAGCCTGAAAGCAATCGCTTGAAGATACAACTATTGGCCTCGATTTGCAGGGAGAAAAACAGAAGGAAGGAAAGGCAAGGCTCAGAAAAGAAACTAGAGTGTGCCTGGCTACCACCACCAGCCTTTCTGACCAGGACACAAGAGACTTAAGTGACCTAGTGTAAGAAAACTGTAGAACAAATCTTGAGTCCTCCCCCTGCCTTCCCAAAGCCAGACCCATTGAACTGATGGATACCAGAGCACAGCTTCCCAAATGCACTTGACCAACCCCCCATTCTCTGAAGAAGAAGAAAATATCCAGTAATCCCTGGCAATTAAAAATGTTTGTGCTATGGCCCATAATCCAGATTAAAGTGTAGTTATCTGCTTTATCTATCTTATTTTCTTCAGCCTCTTCTTTTGATCCGTGCGAATATAGGAGATTTTTGGTCACTTCGAGTTATATTAGTTAAATTCTAGATAATTGGTGCTGTATCCATATTATTGCCTCTAGTGATCTTTAATTCATTAATCCACATTAGCATATTCTGGGATTGTTAACAAAGCTCACTATATTCACTTGGACTGCAGATTTAAACTACAAATGACTTTTTGTAAGGGAATGTTAAGGGGTATTTAGATAAAGCATCAGTTGAACTATGGATCCAATCTGCTTTCTTTGGCAATTTATTATTAATTTAAAATGAAAGGCCATACGGATCTTCACTTACACAGGTAGTTCCCGTGAATTCTATGAAACTGCAAGGGGATCAGGGAAACCCCTGTGTTCTAATAAAACAGTTACGTGCAAATATCTCTTATTATTTACATATATATATAATAGTCAGGTTTGGAAACGTTAAACTCATACAGGGCTGGAAGATGAGTGAGTGCATGAAGTTCAACTTAGTTTGCCTCTGTCTTTTTCACTGACAGTTATTCAAGAGCAAGGAAATGAGCTTGTGTCCCTAAACGGAAACCCAGACATCTTAAATACGTCACAGCTAGATGAGTGCCCGAGGGATTCTGGTTGTTACATCTCATCAGAGAATTCAGATAACGGCAAAGAAGACCCGGAGACGGAACGTCTGCCGGACATGGTACAGAAGATTGCGATCTCGGAGCCAAGTGACTAACCGCACCTTCTTCACTATCGATCGGCAGATCCTTTCCGTTTTCAACTTCCTGAGCAGAAGATCAAATAAGACAGGACAATTTGTAAATACAACTCAGAGTTAACATGCTTTAGTCTGAACGATTGTATATAAAGTTTTGCACTGTTAACATTTCCCATTATTGTAAATAACTTTTATTTTAAATGCTTGGTGTTAATATCTTACTTGCTTGTATTAGAAAGATGCAGTGTAAAGACAGTGTTTTGATATGTGCAACATATGCTTTATTTACATTCTCTTATAAGAAAAAAAGATAAAATTTGCTCCAAAGAAAACAAACCAAATGCACAACTACTTACAACCTCCATATTGTGCCTGCCAGTTTTGAATCACTTCATTTAATACATAGAAATATTAAGCAGGTCTCTGTTTAATTCGTTTTTCCTGGAAGCACCTATATTCATTTTTATATTTCCTGTGAAGCTGTAAGTTAATATTGAGACATTTCATTTTGACCCACTGTAGAGTTTGGATGATGCTATTGATGTCTTTACTCTGTCACCAAGTATAAAATACAAATAACTGTATTTGCCAACTTGATTTGGTAGGACTAGTTGTAATAGTCGTGCACAAATTTATCTTTAAATTCAAATGTGCTTAATTCTTAAATACCCTTCTTTTACTAATTAAAATACTTATGCACATATTTCATTTTCCACATTAATGTTATTTAAAGCAGTTCAATATTAAAATTTAAGAAATACTATCTGGTACGATCTGGTTTTATGCTCAGAAACTTCTTTTTTAAAAGAAATAATTTTATTGTCTAATAATCTCAGTTTCACTCTGTCTTGTGAAATGCTGAGCTGTGGAATATGCCTTCCTGGATATTCTCAGAAAGCCATAACTTAGCATCCTCAAATCATTGATTTTCTCTCCAAATATATCACTCCTCTTTAATTTCCACACTATCTTTAGTCTACCCAGTACCCGAAGAAGGAAACCATTCTCACTTTATCTCATGACTATTCTCCTCATAAAGATTAAGCAAGTAATCAACTCCTCAGCCTTTCACTTCTAGAAAAACTTTAATAGCCATGGTTTTATCTTTTTTCCTATGGTCACCACCTTGCTTTAGACCCTGATTTCATCATGTTTGAACAAGCAAAGTCGCTTTCTATCTTACCTCTGCTCCCCTGGTGCCCTGCCTTCTAATTCATCCTCTACACAACCTCCAGAGAGAGATTTCTAACCGGCCAACCAAATCAAGTACTTTCCTGGATCCTCATCATCTTTTGTGTAATGCTTAATTTTTCTTTCATGCTGTACAAGGTCCTTCACAATCATTTATACCCCCTCCAGAACACTCTACTTGCAATTCTCTGAAGTCAATATGGATTTGGTCACTTTTCGTATACTATCTATTTCCTGCGGTGGCTCCGATTTCTTGCATAATCAGACACCCTCTCTTTCCTAAGACGCATCCTGAGCGTTCCTGATGCTGGGCAGCTTCCATGGTTCTCCCTGGTGCCTTCACTTGCCTGGCACACACCGCTGTGATTACAAAACTTACCACTTCATATTTGACGTGTCTGACAATTGTCCTCCCACAAGATCATGACCTCCTAGTGACAGAGATTATCTTGTTTATCACTTTAAATACCTTTTGCCTAATGTAATACCTGGCTCAGAATGGGCATTTAGGAACTATTCATTGAGGTATCTTGACAATAATGGCTATTCCAATATGACACATTTCATCTCTATATTTAAATCAATCTACTGAAACCTATTTTTTAAATGTCACCCTAAACTGTTAAAATGTTTGAAACACGTTAGCTTAGGAAAAATAGCAAGGAAAGAAAATATGTTCTTTGCCTTGCCAGGAGCCAGCATTTCACTGGTGATTTCCAGTCTATTTTGCCCAGATCCTTCAGAGTCCATTCCCTACACAGTACCTAGCAGTAAAGCACAAGCCTATTCCTCCTCTCCTTCTCCACCGGCAAATGGTCTTTCAAACCCCAGAGTCCAAAATGCCACTTCTATTACAATCCACTCTTATTATGGCTGCCACTCCCAAGAGAGTCTTTCCAAAACTCTTTGGACACCAATAGTCCTTGATTATAATTTTAACAGGTCAAGCAACTTGTTTCCTCAGGGAGGCTGAGTGAATACAGCTTCTTTAGTGATCTCAGGAAGTCACAGGTAGAGAAGAAGTATCTATGGGACAACGTGATGATAACATGATAGGAATCGTCTGTGAGGCTCTCTTCCACTTCCACTTCAACACCTCCCTCCTCAAATTGAAAATTTGGTACCCACACTAGGATTTGGAGAAAACTTTCGTGAGGCGGTGCTATAAAAAACCCTGTGGGCATTGAAACAGAGGAAGAGAGATTCCCTAGAAATAAGGAAGGGAAGATGGAAGCAAAGAAAGAACAAGGTAGAAGGTACAGTTACAGCATTGAAAAACACAGGCATGCAGTGAAGTGTTAATCATAGTAAGTGAGATCACCATTGTCACCTAACCAACCGGATGCCTGTGGCTCGAGCTTCTCCTTCCTGACTGATGTGAGCAGAAACTTTTCAGAAGAAAAACAGGCTTTCCCTCCTCACCATGAAAATCTGGACAAAGAAGGATTGAGAGGTGAAAAATCGTTACTCGGGGCCATGAAGGAATTGAAGGACTTGGGTACCCTACTCCCTTTGAGGGTAAGAAAATTAAATATGGCATTTGAGCATTTATGCTATTATCTCAGGAATTCCCAGCATAAAAGCACGTGAGAATGAGCTCCGGTTCCTGCTGTGGCTGTTAGGTGTCCTCTTGTCCTGACTCCTGACCACCCCGCCACAGAAGAACGAGTCTGCCCGGTCCTGCTCTGGCTTTGCGCTTCTTAGGAGCGAGCTCCTTGTGGCAGCCACCGTGGGGTCAATACATCATCTTGAGAGCCTTTGCCCTTTTCACTGAGCGTCCACTTTACAAAGCATGACGTCCTTTTCTAGGAGTTAGTGTCTCCTGATCACATGTCCAAAGTACATATGATCAAGATTAATCATGCATTCATTCATTTTTTCTGGTAACCCAATTTACACTGTCTTTTTCATGGCTTTCTCTTTCTTCATATTGATGCTCTTGAGGTCATGACACAGCTCTGATTAGATTTTCTGTCAATGTCTGCCAGCTCTGCTGACACCTGATCACTCTGGGTGACCCTGATGGTATTTGAAATAACAGTGGCATAGCTTCAGTCAACACAACATACAAACCACCACAGTTAAGACCAATAGATAACATCATCATAAAGGGAGACAAAAATGAAGTTGTCAAGGATTGAATCTTGCTTAGATCCACAGTCAATGTTCACGGAAGCAATGGTACAAAAATCAAAGGATGTTCCAGGGGGAAATCTGCTGCATAAGACCTCTTTAAAGTGAAGAGTCAGGACGTCACTTCGAGGACTGAGGTGCCCCTGACTCTCGCCATGGTACTTTCAGTCGCCTCACATGCATGCGAAAGTTTGGACGTTGAATAAGGGAGAGCACAACAGAATCAATGCATTGCAGCGATGCGGAAGAATACTGAAAATACCACGAGCTGACAGTAAAAAAAAACACAAATCTATCTTGTAGGAAGTGCAGCCACAGTTCTCCTTAGGAGGAAAGGTTGCAACACTTCCTCTCACGTCCTTTGGGCCTGGTATCAGGAGGGACCAGTCCCTGGAAAAGGACATCATGTTTGGTTAAATAGAAGGTCAGCGAAAAAGAGGGAGCTCCTTTACAAAACAGATATTTCAGTGATTGAAGAATGGCTGAAAGCATCTCAATTGGGAAGCCAATGCAGGACCACGCGGCACTTGGTTCCCTCGTACAGAGTCACGATGAGTTAGAGCTGACTCAGTGATGCCTAACAACTTCGCTATATTCCTGAACATTCTATTAAAACAAGCAAACAAACCTTCTTCCAAGGAGCCCTGCTGGCACAGTGGGTTATGTGTTGTGTTCTTAAGAGGAGGGTCAAACGTTTAAACACACCAACTTCTCCACAGGAGAAAGATGAGACTAGCTTCTCCCCTAAAGATTTCCAGTTTCAGAAACCCTGTAGGGAAGTCTTACCCTGGCCACAGTTTTTATCCTGGGGTGGTTTTTCTTCAAATGAATTGTCAAAGGAGTTAGTTAAGAAGCAAAATAAATATTAAAACGTTTGAAATGACAGGCTGCCAATTAGCCAAGCGTTAAACAACACTCAGTTCACTGAGGTTACAGGCAAGTGCTTTGCAACTTCCTGAGTGTGGCCAAGTTGAGGACATTTCATGTTGAGAAACTTCCGTTGCAAGCTTAAGTTCTGAGAAAAAAGATTATTAAGAAATTTGTGACACTACATCACCATCCCACTGAAAGACACACTCACGCACATCCATTTCTCCACCACCAAGCAGGAGTATTCTATCTCTGATCACTGTGCACAGTTCAAATACACCTTCATCAAGTAAGAAGTTAAGATAAAGATATGCAGTTTGAGTACAAAGTGAATAGGGACAATATATATATATTTTTTAACCCAGCAGTTTCTAAATGTGACTAATATTTTGGTTATGGAAATAATAAGTAACCCTCACTTTATGCTGCCTTCTATTTTAAACTACTGATCTGATCTGATAGTTCTCAGCATTGACCTGAATGCTTACAATTGACTCATCTTGTTTGGCAACTGTGTGAACTGGGTCAGATAAAGTATCTTATAAGTTTATGCTTTTTTAACTTTAAAATGTACATAAAATATGCATCATCCTGCATATTAGTGTGTCAAATGAGATGCAACACAAAGTGTGCAGTACAAGTATTGACAGATGTTATTTGCTGCTTTAGCCCATAATTTTACTTTATTCACTGATGTCTGAATATAAAATTGAAGCAATGCATATGCTACCTTGATTCAGATCTGGGTTTGTAGGAATTTAGATTCTTGAGTCACAAACCGAGAGCAAGGACATCTGTGTTATTCAGAAGCTGTGAGAGGGAATTACCTAGTTTAACAGAACTTCTCAGATAAATATCAATTTTAGTAGGCACAATATTTGTGTACTTCTACCCAGCTTGGGGATCTATTTGTATTTTTTTTTCTCATCCACAGCACAGTATATTTTTGAAGAATGAATGATTGTATGTATCAGTGCATTAATTATTGAATATGAGACTTGGGGTCACTACTGTTATTTCTGTCCCATTGGGCCCGGACCTCTAACGAATCATCAAATCACAGTCAATTATGCCACAGGCAACATAAACAAAAAATTAACTATTTTGTTTAACTGTTGATTGTGATTCATCATGATCTCATAGGACAAAGTATAAATACCCCTTCAGATTTCTGAGGCTGAAAATCATTGCAGAAGCATAGGGTTTCATCTTTCTGGTATTGGACCTGCTGGCCTTGTGGTTACATCCTAAGGTTGAACCCACGACTCTCACAAGGCACCGTAGGCAACAGAGGAGTCCTTAGGAAAGAGCCCTAAGCATAGATATTTACAGATTTAAAAAACGCATGGGGATTTTGGATAATGCTCTGCCAGAAGAAACCTGAGCATATACCAGGAAAACGCGATACGAATTTCCCAGGTCTTCCATTCTTTATCTTGCAAACTTCTGTTTAAAATGCAAAAGTATCAATATGTCTGTGGACTCTATTTTATAAATGAAGAAGTCATGAGGGT